TTTTTCTACCCGTACTGTATTTAGTTGAAAGATCAATCAAATATGGATCAGAGGTTTCCCTTGTTCATATGTCCACCGGGAAATATTTATCTACAAAAAAAGTCCCATTACCCAAACACGGACAATATGCGGTATTTATTATTATTAATTTTTATCATTAGTTAATGTTACACCTTAATACATATTGTATATGTTTATTTAAGGTCGCTTGTACTGGCCAAAACATCGACTTAAAAAACGATACCTGGAAACTTATTGGTGCATTTAACGTAAACGTAAAAAATGGAGGCCTTTTATCCTCAAACACCGTTGTTAGACTCATGCATCAAGATACGGGAGAAAGCTTACATTCTCATGGTGTAATAAATGGTGGAACTTCAAAATCAAATCATCAACAGGGTATTTTGTATAACTAGTTACGCATCCATTTATATAAAATTCATAATTAACTATCATTAATTAAACGTTTAGCAACCATTTACAGAAATAAAAACAGTGACGATAATTGGCTTCTTCATTGCAATAACACCGATGATAACGACTCAGCCCATTTAATGAATGGAGATATCATTAGCCTCTTTCATAAAAATACTAATCAACCGCTATACAGCCATAAAGTTTTATTAGACGATGGAACTCAAGAAGTTTCTTGCCATGGAAATGGTGATGAGAAGAATATTAAGGCATAATATTTTAACAAAGTTAATGTCAATTTTTTTTCCCATTAGACATTTAATCACAAATCCACCTTGCAGTGGCGTATCGAATTAATTAGGAAACCGATTAAATATGGATCAACAGTCGCGTTATTTCATGTGCCTACTAGAAAATATTTATCTAATAAAGGGGTCAAATATTCATCGAATGAAGGGGCCAAACACTCACATAATCAATACATGGTACAATTTCATTGAAGTTATTGTTTTCTTTATTACTTACCAATCAATATTAATTTGATTTACAAAGGTCGTATGTAACGGTCGAGAAATAGATTATGAATATGACCTTTGGACGATCTGTGATACAAACGTTGGAGATCCTTTATCCATTCGTAACATTATCGCATTTAAGCATAAAAAAACCGGCGGAAATTTACATTCCCATGGACTTAGAAATGGAACTACCCCAAAATCAAATCATCAGCAAGGTATGTTTTAAGTAAAACCATATTGTTTTCCAGAAATCTAATTTATATCACTGTTAGCATAATAATAACCGTACATTAAATACTCTAGTAACTATTTTTATGAATAAAAATCAGGACGATTACTGGACTATTCGGCATAATATTCCCAAAGGCGATCTAGATCAATTAATGAGCGGTGACATTATTAGTCTCTTTCATAAAGTTACTAAAATACCACTCTACAGCCATGATGTTTTGTTGGATGATGGAACTCAAGAGGTTTCTTGTAATGGAGATGGATGTGAAGATAACAATATGGTACAAAAAGGTTTAAATATTTTCACTCATGCGTTATAAGAAATGCTGCTTGCTTACTACTTTATAAAAATAATATTTTTAGTGGTGTATCGAATTGATAGAATAATACAAATTATTTTATGGTGCATAGTATAAGAAATAGTAATGCATTATGGCATGAAATAATATCTTTTTTATAAAATACTTGTATTCATATTGGACCAATAAAATTTTTTGGATTGAAATTTTTCCCTACCAAAACGAAATTTGCAACCTGGAATAATAACTTTTTTATAAGACAAAAACATAGAATCGAGTCTTGAGGGCAAATTATACAAAAAAAGTTTAAAAATTAAAAAACGCAAAATTTTTAATCTTTCTATAAAGCAATATAAAATTTTCACCACACGATATTATGTTAACCTTTCAAGTTCAGTTTTGATTAAATATTAATTATTAGCATTGAGAAATATTGACCATTTTAATCTTCTAAAAGACATACTGTATACTGTATACAGTGTTGCGTCATAAATTCTACATAAAAATATTTTCAAAATATTTTATCATTTTTATATCTTAAATTATATATTCCAGATAATTGAGGAAATTCAGGGAAACAATTCTGAAATTTTTTATCTCTGTTTTAACATAGGAGTACAATTAAAAATGAAAATTTGAATAATGTAAATAATATTTTGTTTATTATGTAATAAAAAATTTATTATTATGAAAATTTTATTCATTTTATACAAAAAATCAATTTAATTTTCTTCAACCCTGTTAAAATATCTTTGTTTAACCGTTTCTTATATAAATTCTGAAGAAGTATTTAAGAATTAATTTCCTAAATCAGAATATCTTGAATATTTATTACTGATATTTAAAAAGACTTAGTAATTGTCATTCACAAAAATATCGAACCAAACAATATTTTATCATTCCATAAAATTTTTCATTCAACCTTTCAAAATTAAGTAACACGCTTACAGTTTGATTAGTCCCGACACATATATTTAACAATATTAACTTATTTGATATACTGTATATTAAAAAATCAGAATTTTTCGACTTCTATTAATAAATTTCAACACTAATTCAATATCCCTAGAGTTCTTAATTTTTTTAACTTTCAACATGTATTCCATATCATTAATGAGAAGATAATTGAACAAGGGTTGTCACAAAACATGTTATTTTATCTCTTTAATAGCATCAAGATATAACATAAACATCTTTCGGCTATATTCAATTTAAAACAAATTCACAATTCACCAATTTCATTATAATATAATAAAAAATTTTTCTTAACAATTAACATCTAATGTTAATCTAAATTCTCTTATTGATTAACAACCTCAATAATTCACTAATACTAATTTTAACAATATCTCTTTCTTCATTTAAGACAATAGGACGAATGCTTAATATAATAACAAGAAAAATATCAAAACCATATAAAGATTGTGCTCTAGTTAAATAATTTGTGAAAGTGTCAGACCGTCTTGACTTCCTACAATTAATTGTTTTTTTGATAATTTTAATTTACATAGTTACAATATGAAATTTAGCATATTTTGGATTTGTAAAGTATGGTCAGGCGCAGATTCCCTATATAATATAGCGTTTAAGTCACAAAAATTAACAAAGAAGAGCAGTGTGGGAAATAACAAATAAAAAGGAATTGGGTAGATATATCATAATAAAGTTAAATATTAGGTACCCGAACGTACATTATTGGGTCAAATTTAAATTTGAAGATTACTTTTTATTTAATAGATATAGATCTTAAAAAATCCCCCAAAATTTTTATTGTAATATTAAAACTAATACTTTAATCAAAATTTTAATATATCTTGGTTTATTTAAATAAAAGTCAAAAAATATTTAGTTATAAATATATTTTAGATAAATAAATAACATAGATGAATTTAAATGAATGTTTTTAAATTGTTATTAAGCTTTCATAGTCGATTGATACGTATAATGTTTAATATTTATGTTTTTTATCATTAAATGTTATAATTATATAAATTAGAATCTATCAAAAAAGATGAAAATATGGTTAATAAATTAGATAATGCGCATTAAATAACAAATATTTACCTGTTGCACTAGCACTAACCGATTCTTCATGTAACCGAGCGGCATCAGCACTGTTACTAACTGATTTGTTGTAACGTTGAGCAATGCTATAAGTATCAATATATCTGCTTGTATAAGCGGCATCTTGATGTTTCTGCAATGTCAAAGGTAGTTGCTTAGCTATTTCATCCGCTTCCCAAAATTTATTGCATATTTCTACTTCAGATTCATTAAGTTCATTAAGCTGATCAAGATCAATTTCACTTTCATCAATTTCGTCGATTTCAAGTTCATCAACTTTATCCATGAAACTATACCATTCTTCAAGCTGCTTATAAATAGCTTTAGCTGCAAGCCGTTTCTGTGGGTTCGAATCCATGCATTGTTTTGCAAGGGCAACGTAGAAATGCGGAGTTTCTGAAGAAAATTCTGGTCGTAATCCGTTGCAAATATTAATTGCAAGAAATTTATCGAATATACAACCATCAAAGGGCGGCATTCCAGTAGTTATTTCTGCCATAATAACACCAAAACTATATATATCTGATGCTTGAGTGTAATTTTCGCCCAGTAAAATTTCGGGTGCAATATAGGGCATAACTCCATAAATTCCTTTCTTAGTTTTAGAATCTTTGATTTTTTGTGATAACCCGAGATCTATAATATAGGATTTTGCTTTCTTAAGCCATAATCCTTCTTTATGTAATACGATATTTCCACTATGTAAATCGCAATGAATATACCCGGCTTCATGAATTTGAGTTAAATCTTTTGATATGTCTATCAACCGTGATAATTTATCTTTCCACGTAAATTCTCTAAAATTAGTTCTTAAAGAGTGACGAAGATTTCCATTATTCGCGTATTGAAAAACCATCATATACTGATTTTTAATTGTATCTTTGGTTAATCCATACACTTCGAGACTACTACCCATTAGCCTACATTGCATATGATTTTTGAACTAATAAATAAACAAACAAAAAAATAAATAATAAAATTCATATTCGTGTCTCATAAATAAGATAAATAATAAATTAATAAAATTAAACCGACTTCTCTTAAAAAATCGGTGGGATTTGTCGATGAATCCGATAAAGTCTTAAGTGCTACTGTATATTTTTGTATATGTGACCGTACACACTTTCCGTTTTCATATAAAATTCTTCGTTTTCCATCTAACCAGGTTGCAGAATACACACATCCAAATCCTCCTCTTCCAATTTCCTTGACATCATTTAATCTATCAAAAGGAATCCAATCAATTACTTTACCATATTCAGTAGCCTCAAACTGAAAATCCATGATGCAATTATTAATATTCACATTTTCACTCGTCCACCCTCTAATCATTTTCCAAGGGTCGCATGATTGACACCAAGCTCTTGATGTGTTGTAGCGTTTACAATTTGTACATTGTCCATAATTAAAATCTCTCTTAGAAGCAAACTCATCAATACTCGACTCATGTATTTCAAATGCTATCATATATTTGCTAGTGTTTGTTATTTGTCTTCTCTCGCATATATTAATTCTATTTTTATCTAGTTTTATGTAACTCTTAAACTTTAAAAATAAGGATTCGTAAGCAAAATGTCAGTGGAAACAAGTAACTTAATTATGTACCTACTTCTTGCAAAAATTCTATAAAGCATAATTGATTATGGGGCAAAACTTTAAGCAAAACCGTGCAAGATTCTTTGAGTATTTCAGGAAAATCTAAAGTAAAAAAAATTATATTATTACGTTTTGCAACAGAGATAAAAAATATGAGAGAATTACCTCGTTTAACGTCTGACCAGGTTATTGAAAATTCTAAATATTTCTCGCCAATATTCTGCATTCGAACAAACTTATCATAAGGAATCCATTCAATTATCTTTTTATATTCTATGGATTCAATCTTGAATTCCCTAATACAGTATTCATTTGATAATCCCTGATTTATCATATTTGGGTTGCACGAGTCGCACCAGGATTTGGAAATTTTGTATTGATTACACTGTGAATAATTTTCGTATTGTCGGTTATGTTTTTCAGAACTGAACTCACTGATAATCATATATTGATTTATCTTTGGATTGTAACTTATTCCGCATATTTTATTTGCACACATGTAACCCTTAAACTTATACCGTAAAATAAAATTATTTATTTTGTCATACAAATTAACCGATCTAAAATAATTTGATTTACCTTCTTGAAACTCAAAAATTTATTGAGAATAACTGTACATATTTTACGTGACTTTCCTTCATTTCTGAGTTTTCTCCTTCCGTCCAACCAAATTGCCGTCAATACTGAGTCGTTAATTGTTTGTACTTCATATAATCTATCGAACGGGATCCACTCAATCCCGTTCTCATATTTAGTGACTTTAAGTTGAAATTCCTTAATACAAATATCAGTTTCCTTATTTCCACTGGTCCATCCTTGAGTAGTTTTAAGAGGATCACATGACCGACACCAGGCTTCTGAAGTATTATATCTTTTGCACTGTGTACATGAATTGTATTTCTCATTCCGAATATAATCATATACAATCATATATTGACTAGTTATTATATTCTGTGTTATTCCATATACTTTGGTACCAGAATTATTTGATCGCATAAATTTTTTAAACTTGTAAAATAAATCAAAAAGTTATTATATTGTTCACTAAAAATAAATCACAATAAATTTACAGCCTACCTTTCTTGTAAATTCTAATGTATCTACTTGAGAACCATTGAGTTTCTCAAGTTCGACTGTATAAGATGATGTACGTAACTGCGTATTATTTTCAACCTTTCGAATTCCATCTAACCATTCTGCTCGTAATTTCGAATATCCTGTTTTATGCAAATTAGATAGCCTATTAAATGGAATCCATTCAATTATATCTTCATATTTCGTAGTATTAAGTTGATATTCTTTAATGTAATCATCAATATCATTGTTTTCACTAGTCCATCCTTGAGTAATTTCGAAAGGATCGCACGATTGACACCAAGCTTTTGAAGTATTATATCTCTCGCATTGTGAGCATCTTCCATGAAAACAATCCCTCCTGGAATCGAAACTATCAAATACAATCATATATTGACTGGTTTTTGAATCCTGCGTTATTCCATATATTTTATAATCATATGATTTCATATAATTGTTAAGCTTATAAATAAACATAAAATTAGTGTATCGTGTTACCAAAAAAAAAAATCCCAGAAAAAATATACGTACAACTTACTTTCTTTAAAAGCTCTGACGTACCTATTTGAGAATCAAATTTTTCAAGTTCGACTGGACATGATAATGTTCGTGACTGTGTAGCATTTTCAACCTTTCGAATTCCATCTAACCATTTTGCTCGTAATTTTGAATCTCCTGTTTTATGTAAATCAGATAGCCTATTGAATGGAATCCACTCAATTACGTTTTCATATTTGGTGGCTTTAAGCTGAAATTCTTTAATGTAATCATCGATATTTTTATTTCCACTGGTCCATCCCTTGAGTGGTTTTAAAGGAATAATACGACTGAAACCAAGCTTCTGAAGTATTATATCGATTACAATGTGTGCAGCTTCCATACTTTAAAAGGTTAAGTTAGGAATTAGCATATTATTAGACGACAAATTGACTGCATTCCTGTATTAAGTTTACGCACAATGCTCGTAAAAATCATTCTTTGAGAATGAAAATCCAATTAAGAAATAATGTTTGAAAAAATTATGATACCAGTTAAATGTGTGTAACCGAGAATCATTCATAGACTGATGACATAAGACATGCAATATTTGGGGTGCGTCATTATGAAAAAAAATTATAATCTGATTTTTTTTTCTGGCGGCAATTCACATCATAATATTTTACTTAATTTTCAATATATCTGGTATGATAGAAGAAAATGATGTAGTCCGTAACTCTCTTATATGGAGAGCGAAGCATGTAGATCCCCACAGGAAAATGCTCAACTTAACTATAAGGATTCAAAATTATTGAATTTTAAATTTTAAATTTAGTACTTAAAATTGCTTGGTAATAAAAGTATCTAAAAATCGTTTTATAATAATTATATAATGCACGATGCATTATTTTATATTAATATTGATTTTTATTTAAATGCTTTTTCTTAATTTAAAATTTTTATAAGATAATATAATTGATTTTTAATAAATTAACAAAATATAAATTTATACAGAGGAATCTTTGTAAGAATTTTTTTAATCAAATTCTATTGTAATTTTATAAACATTTAAATTCAAGTATTAAAAAAAAAGTTTTTATTCAGCTTTATATGTAAATATAAATAATTAAAAAAACTTAAAATTTATTTATATGTCATGATTAATAATAAATTAAATAATAAATATTTACTTTTTAAACTTAATATAATATTTAATATAATATTGAAAAGATGGAGTTTTTCAATAATTTAAAATTAATTATTAATTTATTTTAAGATACTGTATAATATTATATATATATTGTTGACAGGAAATCTTTACAGTATAAGCTGAATAGTATGATTTTTTGTATTATATATCCAACCAGAGTACTATTATTGCTTTTAAGAAATAGTTATATGTGGTTATAAAAGCTTAAATAGGTTGCTTTATAGAACAATAGTTTATAAGTTATAATGACATAATTTTATAGTAAAATAGCTCTAATATAATAAAATAAAAACAATAATATAAATAGTAAAAAAGAGTGTAGCAAAGAATATAATCAATTAATTAATTAAAAAACCTATCTTTTTTTTTTACAAATAAATAAATAAAAAAAACACAAAAAAATAATGATTATATAAATACATAAAAAACTATTAATTAAAATTTACAATAAGAAATAGTATAATTAATATATTAAATATAAAGTTACAAAATAACTTACCTTTCAAAAATAATATTGTTATAAGAGAATTGTAACTCAATCTATTTAGAAAAAATAATAAAAGAAGAAAAAAATAAATTAATAAGTTTTTAAATTTAATTAAATTAAATTTATATTTTAAGCAAGTAAAAAAATTATAACTTATTTTGATATACAAGTTTCATTTAATTTTAGCAACAGACTTACCAGAATAATGTCAACAATATATTTGTTGAGATAAAATTTACTAATTTGTTTCTATGTCATAATTTCTAATTATATTATACCCAAAAAATAATTTTTTAAACTAGATGGCTTATATTTTGTTTATTAAATATTTTTTTAAATATATATAATATAAATTTGTTTTATACAAATTTATTTTTTTATTTATCTAAAATAAACTTACTAAGAAAATTTCTACCATGTTGCTTATTGCTAAATACTGAAATACAGTATACTAGTTAAATTGTTAAATCATTATCTGTTTCACAAAAATTTTATTTAAAAAAAATATAATATGTCTCAATTTATTCAATAATAACTAGAATATTTAAAAAATATGTTTAAATTAAAAATAAAAGTTTTATATAATTATTATTTTTTTTTGAGTTTTCAATTCTTTGTCATTTTTAAATATATTTAGTTTTTTTTTACTATTAGTCAAATAGTTTGTATTTTTTTTTCATCTGCTTTAAAGGGTTTAAAAAATTTGTTAAAAATATTTCTATTACTTTGTGATTCTTAGTGCTATAAAGTTTTTAATAAAGTATTATAATATTTTGTATTGTACTTTTCTTATTACCAAGTCTTTTATTTCTTGTATCTATTATTTTTATTATTTTTAAAGATTATATTTGAGTAATTATTTTTATTTTTTTTAAAAATTTTTTTTTTTAAAAAATCGCAAATAAGCATTAAATGCGAGACTTTTATTAAATAAGAGTTTATAGCCATTACATTAAAGATCTTTATAAAAAATATAATTTAATTCTAGCCTATTGCAACTTTTTCTGTTAACACTTGACTTGCACCAAGTAGGTGAATCTATGCTAACAGTGTTGAATAGCTAATGCCTATTCAAAATAATGATACAATTGCAGGTATAAATATATTTTTATCTGTTAAGTTATTATTTGATACTAAAGTATTAAGTATTTTATGAAATGTAAAACTATTATTTTTAGTATTATAATCAATTTTTGTGGTCATGATTTTTTTTCATTTTATTTCTGATGTTAGTGATATAATGGCTGTTGCTAAACGTTCCTTCCAGACTTTGTATAAGATTTTAAGTGCTTTGTTCGAGATTGCGGCCTTGTTATTTAGTATTTTGTCCAAAGAAAATGAAGATTGCCAAGTGTAAGATTAATTATGTCATTGAGAAGGAATTCCACACAAACTATCTCAAGTCAAACAACATAGGATATATCTCAAGGGCCACAAAAAAAAAAATCAGAGCAATTATCAACAAAGCACTATTTGTCGCATATCTCAAGTCCTCTGACCTATCCCTTCTCAAGTTCTGGCAAGCCGCTCAACTGCTGGAATACGGACTAAACTTCTTTATCGACCCCACTCTCCCAAAAGTAGACTACCACGAGATCTATAACATTTGTGAGGAGCAAATTAAAAAAAATCTTCCAGACCTTCCAGAAAATCCTGAGGACGTCCCATCCTCAATCAAAGTTAGGTTACCTAAAGCCATTCCTCTACTCTCAACCAAGGAAGTCGGCGAAGTAGCAGGCAGCCTGAGAGCCTTTTACAACTTTGACGTCCTTCC